CAAATTTGGCTCAAATGAGTGCTTTGGTAGTTTTCAGTAAAAACTTTTCACACATAAGAGAGCAAAACAGCAGAATGTGCTCTGTGACAGGTGCATTGCCTGTTTAAAATTGTAAAGAATGATAATACAATGTAAATGTAAATGAGATTTTAGAACGTCGAAACGTTACGATAATCCGGCATTCGGGATGAAACGCATGTATGAATATTTCATCAGAGTTTCGCGTCCAGAAATCAAGAATTCTTGCTGTATTATTGAATTGTTTTATGTTGGTCCAACTGCTGTGGCTACATCAATGATGATTCACTTTCACGCCACAAGCACGAAATTCGGACACCGAAGAGGTGTTTGCAGCCGCCGCCGGAATAACAACGAGTGCGGTGAGCATTTTGCACTTTTTCTGTCAAACAAAACAAACGATCTGCAAGTAAATCAAGACGCATTGCGGTCGTAAAACACTCAAATTAATAAAGCATAAATAAAGAAGTTGTTGCGGCTGATCACGGACTAAAGGGTTAAAACTTTATTCTTGGCTCATTTGTGTCCGTTCTAAGTACAATTTAATTACAAGGAGCAACCTTTTCTAATTAAGTCCGAATGGGGTCGGAATTTAAAACGGCCGCATTTTGAGACATTCCGTGCACAGAGACGTATAGGTATCTGTTGGCCCAGCAAATTGCATTCCGCTGCGTCAATTTCGAAACAATTCGTCGAAATCAGCAACTGCCAAAACCAATTCGGCTATTTGAAACACGTTATTCCGTATCGACGCACCAAAGACCGGAACGAAAAACTTTGTATGCATTCGGAGTGGCTGCTGTCACCGAAACGGCTCTCCGTGCTCTTTATTCCGTGATAAAATACTTAGAAAATTGCAAAGCGACATCAGACCGACTTCATATTCAGATGGGGCGAATTCGGGCAGAATGCGGCATGTGACGACGCCCCGGAACGATCCATCTGGAAGGACGCAGATGACAGGTTGCCAATCACCAGCGCAAAACTGCATTTTTGTTGTACTTTTTGCAAAATTTGAAAAGAAACTAAAATATTTTTATTGTTGGAATATGATTGTTGTGGAGAAAATTCAATGATTTGGTGTGTCAGTAGTTGTAATAAACCGTCTGTTGATATTTTATTTACTGTGGAACGAAGTTGGAGGCCTATTCAGGTGTTGGATTCATTCTTGGCTGTCGGTCCATTGTCCGAAGCAATCACGGCCCTATCTTTCAGCTGTAGGGCCCTGACGTGTCGTAATTTATTTACCCATCGAAGAGATAGCGTCAATACAGCCCACCGAACCGAAATTAAATAGCGGGGAAATTGCCGAAACTCTATCAAGTGGTTTTGTGTTTGGTTTTATCGATAGATTGGTTTTTTCGGTCTCGCGAGAATAGCGTGTTAATTTTTTAATCCACCTGTTGAGGTAAGTCGAGTCGCAGTGGCGGCGGCATTCTATGTCTTGTTAGTTGTTCCTTTGGAGCCCCCGATACGAAATTAATTACGCGACCCTCCCCGAAGAATAATTTATACGTGGCAGCATCGAAGCTCGAATTAGCGTTAAATAAGTTAGGCGACGACACTCGAGTAACGAACGAACGAACTGAATACACATCACACTTGAATTAAAACGTCCGCTTCATCATACACCCCTGTGCTGTGTTCTGATGGACCGACACCCTCATCAGGCTATTGTTTTCGCAGCAATTGTCCCCGTTGATCCGATTATGCATAACGTGGGCATACTTTACCTACAAAGTTTACAAGGCCAGAGGATTCACCGGAGCCGACTACAACAATAAGCCAAGCAAAAAAATCAAACCTAGAACTCCAGAAACAAATTGTATAGAAAAGTACAAACAAACATTCTAAAACTACAAAATAAATTTTTGAAAAACTCATTTCTGTCTAAAAAGTATGTAACATTAAAACAAAAATTAATTATATACAGATATTCTATTTGAATTCATAGATTTACCACAAAAAACTTTTGTAGAAGAAAACATTGACTAATGCTTTAAAAATTGTATAGACACTTTAAAACGTATAAGAATATGACTTTCTACAGAATGTATAAATAATAAAAAACAAAGAAAAAATATGACTTTTTATATCATATATCATATTATATCATTCAAAGGGTCGTTAAAGACATGAAGATGATGAATCAATAAAGGTAGCCAACAAAGTAGAAGAAAGACCAAATTGTTGGTTGGCATTTACTATCTCTTCCTTTTATCAGCATCATCATAAGGTTCATTTAATGGATATTTGGAGACTTACCCTAGGCATTTTTATAGGTTTCTTGGGCTAAGAATACACTCTAACTCTCTATTAACTATCCCACCCAATATTACGTGTGAAAAAGTAAACCGGACCAACACAGCAACATTTAACTTTGTGGTTTTGCGATTAACTTATACTACTAGGAAACGTTAGTAGGTAGATGATATTTTAATTTTTATAAAATTCAGTCAAATCAAACATTTGCTTAAATTTTTATTTGAGATGTTGTTTCATCTTTTACACTAAGATGATTGAGGGACGTTTCTCTAGCATCCCTGAACAATATAATAACCTGTTCAGTTTATGGAATATCGATCGTCTTCATTCATTAACACATTAAATAAGTTACGCCCACAAGTCAGAATACTAATACCGAACAATTTAACTTGTCGATACTACTACGATAAAAAGGCAATAGCAGAAATTAACATTGACAGAGATCAGAAATAAATACAGTCTGCTGTTTAATTTTATTTCCCAAATCCCACCGGTTACCGATTTCAGTTTTGCATTTTCTCATTTAGGATGGTTTATTTAACAACGGCAATAAAAAAGTAATTCACATAATAGTAATTTTTGCAACAATAAAAAACCGGAAACAGCAGATGTCACCGATAACGCCAGTTGAAAAAAATTAATGATGATTTGTATAATCCCAGAACGCGGTAGTAATCGTTCGAGAATTAATCTTTTTCGAAATGTGTTGCAAATGTCCACCCTTCACCACCCTCGCCATCTACCTCCTCGTGTCGATTTTAATAGGTTTTTACTTTTACAAAGCGGAGGGATCGGTAAGTTCACGACTCGCGAGTCAGTTTTGTAAGTCTTTAATTCCAGAGCGATTCCGGACTAATTTCAATTAAATCCAGCCACGGCTTTGCAAGTGAGAGACTTTCTTAATTAATATCAATGTAAAAAGGGTCCACGTTTGTAATACAACATCTCCTATTATCTGGTAAAAAATTAAAAAAACGAGAAAAGYAATTGTTAAATTTTTAATCTATTTTGTTGCTAAATGTGAAATAAAAATGATTTCTGGTCATCTAGAAAAAGATTTTCCCATAATGCACTCTTTTTCGTATCGATTCATCTCAGATACGGTGCAAGAAATTTCGCATATTAAAATATGTTACTCGCCTCTCATATTCCAGGTCAGAACTCTCGGCTTTGACGACGTTTCGAGTATTTCTAAGCTTTTGCTACTGCTGAGCTTAATGGATGCGAAGCGTGTCCGGACACTTAGCTTCTGGATTATGACGGCATGTTTTTGCAGCCTCGGCAGTAAAATACTAAACATCCAACTGGTTTGGCAATCACCTGTTCTGGGATTGGGTCGGAGAACACTGCACACACTGGTGATTCTAAACTACTTACCACTTAGCCAATGCGAGGCAAATTAGAAGCTAATGTGTTGCCGGAGTAAAAGACACTCTTTACAAATTTGTTACGGATAAGTTAATTAGGGACGCTATTATAGACGACTTGATTAAACGTTGTCTCGTAACGTCTTTATAACTTCGCAAGAAGCTCAATTGAGAGTCGATTTAATTTTCAAGTGTCCTTAATTTTCAAATTTCAATCACTGGAGGTTTTTAAATTATAATCGCATTGTTATTGCAACTGAAAATTTATCTAAAAAAATGGCATGAAATATCTAAATAATTAAAAGAAAATTTGATTTATACAGGATGATTCTGAAATAAACCGACAAAAATTTAGCCGTGGTAGTAGCAAATGATGTTGGAAAAAAATAGTAAAAAATTCTTTGTTTAGCCGTTTTCGAAATAAAATTTATTAAAGTTATGCTCGAGATATTTGATAAATGTACTTGATCATTGCAACAATTCATAAATACCGTAAGTGGTACGGATCAAGGGGGTTTTACCCCTAAAAGATAAAAATGTAGAAGGGGTACAGATCGTCTCCATTTATCCTTGGGAAGCTGTGATAAAATTTTGTCGGTCTATTTAAAAATCACCCTGTATAAAAATACAAATAGTGTCTACACAGAGCTAATTGCCATTGAAAAAATCAAAAAAAACTTCGAGAATTTCATATTTAAAGAACAAAGAGTATGACTAAACATCACCTRATTCCATWCTTTTCCTTTAAATTAATAAATACATACTGTAATAATATAGATTTGGMGAAAAACAACTTTGCTTGATTTTTGTCTCCCTAATAAAGGTATAAAATCAAGAAATATGATCGGATTTATTGGTACTAAGAACGTTGGAGGATATTGGAACGTTGCCATTTACAATAATAAGCAAACATATTGCTTTTCACGAAAATGGATCGGTTAGAATTCCTAGATTTGTGCAACCAATGTAAATATTGAAAGAAACTTTCCGTTGATCTGGTTTAGCACTTTCTTGGAAGCTTTACCAAATGTCAAATCTATCTGCAGTGCACACACTCGGAGCAGCAAATGAAACTTTCTCTTCCACTCACTAATTACACATAAATCGAAATAAAAATCAATTGAAACTTTAAGTAATTTCATTTACTTTGAGCAATCGTTTTAAATGAATAAATAACTGTTTGATGTTTTTTAATACCCAATCGAAGCGAGTTTTCATTTAGTTGGCAATTTTCCAAGACCGAGTAATTAACTCCCTATTGGCACCTCGGCAAGAAATCCTATCCAAAGTAATTATCTCGTGCGAATTGTAACTATCCCATCTGCGTTCAATGGACAAGAAGCCACAAACCTGGAGACAAGTGGTGTAGCTGGGGCTGTAGACGACGTGATCGCAAGCGCATTGACAGTCTCCCAGGTGTTCCGTCAATTCGAACATAAGCTCTGGATCGTCCATTTCCGCATCCTCGCCGTTGGCCGGACGTCTTTTGGGATGGCCGTGGCTGACGTTGGATCTGAAAAAGATAACGCCAATGAATTTTTCATGACGATAAAACGCATGCACGGAAGGGATATTGCCATTAAGAGCGGCGTTTACGCCCTGTTTACGACGACGGCTTTTATTTCCGGTTATGGACAATGACCGGCCGTAAATTATTCATCTTGAGAGACGGGAGTTTATTAAGGAATAAAACGGCGACCGGATTTGCGACTCTTGAAAAGTTGTGGCAAAAAGCAGCAAATCCAAAACATTTCACGGTACGCGTACTTTTAAATATCGATAATACTTACATGTAAAATTTAATTTTTTATAAAACTGTCTGCAAAGTAACCCAAACTTCACTACTCCAAAAACTTTAAAAAAAAGTTTTTTTTTTTTCATTTTGATGAAGATTAGGATGTTCAAAAATAATATGTGTAATTGTTCCTTTAATTTTTTTCTAAACTTTGATCAATCGGTCCGAGAGAACGTTTTTTTTTTTTAATTAACAGGGCTATGGGGGATACATTAAGCCGTAAAAAGATCTAAAAACATTAACCTTTCTATCAATATTAGTGAATACGCGGTAGATTTACTAAAACAACGCAAATAGTTACTCTTCTCTCTATTTTTAATAGTGTTGGGCACAATCGAATGATTTTGACTATCGAATAATCATTTATCGAATGATTTGAACTATCGAATGAATCTTTCATTAAAATGCATTCATTTATTTTATTCAATGGTTTGAGCAAATAAATAGTGGTAGAATTTTTCATTCGATAGTTCAAGTCACTCGATAACTCAATCAAAATCATTTATCTACACCTGCGGCATCAGAGCCTGCAGAAAGAGTTTTTACAAAAACAGGACAGTTAATGACTGAAAGGCGAAAAATTTAGACTGTATTGTTTTTCTTAAAACCCAAATATTTTTCATACTCGCTCGGGCTAGGCAAAATTTCAGTAGGTACAAACTTTGTTTGAATGAATTATTAGAATGAGATAAACACATTATCCAACTGTACGTGAGAAAGAAATAAATGATTTTATTCGATAATTCGGGATTGCGCTCTTATTCATTTCTTTCTACTTAATGAATAATTTTTAATTTTTAATTTTTTTTTCTACTATCGAATAATTCGAATGACAGACAACAGATTCATTCGATTGTGCCCATCATTAATTTTTTAAATCAATCTTGAGGTTGAAAAAAAAAATTATAGAATAATCTTGTAATACATTTATTCTCTGACAAAAGGATTCTTTTGCATTTAAAGTCAGATATCTCAGCGACAAATTTACGTAGAAAGAATATGAAAAATGCATATTAAAGGTGAACATACATGCTATCCGGCCTATGCATTGACTTAACTTAACTTAACTCACGTTCGTGGAACAAAAACAAAAACAAACAAAAAATTAGATTTTTTTTCTCGCGGTATTACTTTTAGGATTGCGTGGTAACCGTAGCACAGAAAAGGAATTTTTAAATCTTGATACGACCATTTTTCGATGAGTTACAGCTTTTCAAAAACCACCAAAAAATTTAGGAAAATGTTTTTTCCCCTTAAATTTTTTGGAGTAATGTAGTTCGTAAAAAAGTACTTTTACGGACTCATATGTCAACCAACACCAATTCACGTAGGTAAATATAGTTGCGCACATTCTTATTTAATTTTATTATTATTTCACTTTACTAGTTTACATTAAAAAGCAATAATACATGTGCGTGCTTCTGCAATGTTGGTTCCATAATAAATATTTCAAATTTTTATGTTATTTAAAAAATGCCGTTTTCAAAAAAAAAACGTAAGGTACACTTTAGCACTTACGTATTTTTTGTACTTAAATTCAAATTTAGTGTTTTGTTAAACAAATAGCTATTGTGTTGTGTGTTGCATTAAATTTTTACGTTTAACACAATTACTAATTACTCTTTTAAGTAAAATAGAAATAGATAGTTTTTAAAACATTTTTTTACAAAAAGAATCTCGTACATTATTGAACATGTTTCAAAGTGGTGAGACTGCTCTAAATAACATTCTTTTAGATTGCCTAATAATTTTAAATTTGTGTCTAGCTTTGTTCTCTCGTAAATCCAATAAAATTTCTACAAACATCGAATTGACATTAAATTACATTGCAACCGTTTTATTTTTAGTTTGTGCATAAAAATCTTCGCTGAAATGCATTTACACAGTTTGCAAAAACATCATTTTTATTTGCATTTAAAAGAGTTTTCGTGTCAGTCTTTTGATCAGTTTAAAAAAATACCAATTGAGAAAAATTTGGAACCTGTTTTTTTTTTAAATCAAATCTGTGTCACTCGAATAACGTGTCATTATGGCATTTGATGGGAGTTCATTTCCGCCAGTAGCATGTAGCTTCCTAATTATGAGTCGACTTGTTTCCATTGTTTTAATTAGGAAACGGCGAAGTGAGCGTTTGCATCGCCATTAATAAACCTGGAAGACCGGTTCTGGAACGGAATTAGTTTTTCCCGCGAAAGCGCCTAATAAATAATTCCTGAAAAAATTGCTAAAAGCTCCTTTATGTGCAACAATTTCGTCTAATAGCTACAACACAACTAATTAATTATTTTGAAAGCTTTCCGTAATCGAGCCTCGCATTAAACTTATAATAAATTATATCGGAGCTCGGCTTTCATCAAACATTCAAAACGATTAAATTTTCAAGCACAATCACTGCCCAACTTTCATTTTTACAACATCTCCATTATTCAAAATTTATCGACTCAAGCCTTGACCCAAAACTGCAAAAACAGTTTTTCAACACGACCAAGAAAACTTTTCCAGTTGTGTTAGGACCGAGGAAAATCTGGAAAAAGTTAGGATCGATTGGCGTTTCCACTGGTGTGCTTTGAACATTTATTAAGGCAACGTCGGGAAAAAAACAATAATTTTAAATTTGGACGAGTTTAATGAAATCTCGGAAAAATCGTCCGGAGAATTATTAATTCCATTCGTGAGCCTAAATGGAGTTATCGCGCGCTGCAACTTAAACTTGGCGCAAGTTTTTCATTTGGCCGATGCATAATTGGCTTTAATCAAATCATATTTTGGACAGCTTGATTTTAATCAAATTCGGTGGATATTTCACGGACGTACTACTGCACCAATCTGACCTACTTGAGGCAAAACTAAATTAAACAATTAGGTAAATTGAGCCAAGTGGGATTATGTATGAGCCGGCCGGGAACGATTAACTAATCCATGTCTCGCGGCTGATTTCCTATTATCAAAAGTTTCAAGTAGTTCAAGACAATTCCGCACAATTGCGCTGATCAACGACTTCCATACCTGCACTAGCTTTATTCTAATTAACTTAAYTGGAATTTACGTACACAACCACCAGTGAAATTGTTAACAATGTCTAAATTTGAAGCTGGCAATCATGCGGGGCTTCACAATTGTTTTACCAGGTCAAAGCACCGATAATCAGATTACGTTTTTACCAACATTTTGGCGTTCCACCACAAAGAAGCCCAAAAATGTATATTTTTATTTATAAATAATTTATACCAGCCTAGTTTGGTTATATAAAAAAATTACGAGTTTTTTCATTTTTATGTCCAAAATATTCAGACTTTAAACCTAGAATTTTTTGAAATTCTGACAACCTGACTAATAATAGTCTGAGATTTTTTTAATTTTTACCTTTTAAAATTTTATGTAAAAATCTTTTTGTTACATTGACCTTTGTTTAGAATTTTTTATTTTGAATTTG